ATTATGAAATCCCTTTGTGGTCCACGTATGCTTCTTGGAATCTTCAGCCAGTCTGAGGACCCACAAATGGGAACGTGTCACACCATGGTTTTGTATGCCACTCTGTCAGATCAGGCTGTAATTCAAAACCCTGATCCACACCTGATGGACAAACACCTGCATAAATTTCTAGCTCATTGAATTTATTAGAGATGCTCAGAAGCAACAGTGCAGCTGAAGGGCCTAAGATAATATCAGACATAGATCAGTAAGGCTCAGTTTTCAGCTAAGGGCCAGGCATGTAGCTCTTTGTTCTCCTCCGCTTGCCAAAGCCTGACAGAAACCACCACTGGTATGGATTCAGGCTCACATTCTCAAGTAGCATTCACATAATCTGCATCTGAAACATTAATTTGACCCAATTCTGTCAAAATCTGATATTTTAGGAAGACATCTCATAGGATATGTTCTCTTCTTCATAATTTTTTTAAGCAAATGAATGCAGGAGTAAAGTGAAGACAGAGTATTTCACAGAAGTACAAATTATAAACATGGCTTAGCGAGAGAGATTATTCTGGATGATGCCTCTGCATTTTGAACTTTCACTCACCTGAAAACCTACAAAGCTCAGGAGAGAAAATGTTTGTTTCCCAAGCTCTGCCTTTAAAGCAGTAACAATACATTAGAGGGGGGCACTGTGGTCACAAGTCAGTAATGATCTAGAGGAGACCTTGGGTGGCTATCACAGGACAGCAAGTAGCTGAATAGGTAGTCTCAGTCTAGAAGTGGTTAGGCACATTGTGTGAGTTTCGGAATCAGAAACAAATGAATGGAAAGGAAGCCAGTTAATTTAGAGACCTCCCAAAACAGTTCTCACAACTGCTAATGTGGATTGCCTATTCTTTAGTCTAGTAACACAACTCTAAATGTACAGATTATTCACTCTTTCCCCTTTCAGTGAGGTCTAATACCCTAAAACTAAGTCCAAAATTAGTTTGAAAATAAGAAGAAAAGAAGTTTCAAAACATTACTCTGGAGTATTTTACACACAAGTAAAAATTACTGTCACAAAAGATACAGAGAATTTGATAAGATAATGCTGACAGAATGCACTAAAATGGTGGGAAATGACAAAAGAGGAGCTAATAGAATAGAGCCTTTCAACAACTGCAACTTTTTTTTTTAAAGCTAGAAATACCTTTTTTTTTTCTGTGGTAAAGGCAGTGTGGCCATTATGAGCATGTCAATGTAAACACCAGAAAGGAGAAGCCAGCATCAAAACAAGATTGCAAGCAATGATATAATAAAACCCACTCTTTCTTACACACACGTGCATTCATGCCTGACTGCTTTTAATTTAAATATAAGGAAAAAATGGCAGTCCTCTCGGATAAGAGTAACAGAAAAAGAAGATGCTTTTCTGATGCCATGTGACTGTTTACAGATTTCATCTTTTCCCTTCTACACTGAAATAAGCCTGAGAGGCTAAAGACCACCAATGAACAAAGTGAGTTGCCCATGCCTGTCAGACTGTCTGTTCTCTGCTCCTCTCATGCTGACCCTATTAGAACTGACTATTAAAAAACAGCATTGGGCCATGTCAGCTCTTGGGTGGGAGGCTGCCAAGGCACACATCCATGCTGCTGGCTTTTCAAAGATTGATAATGATCCTGTGCAATACTTTTTTTCCTTGACCCCAGGCAGTTCTGCATGGGGGTCAGTTCTGGGGTGCTACATACTTGTCTTGTAGCATGAGGTGTAAAACTAAAGTCCTTATTGCCATGGCCATTAAAAATCCCACAGCACTATTTACAAATATGGAAGCAATTATGGCAGATTGGAAGTGGCCAAACTCATAATTCTCTTCTGCCAACATAAATCCTCCCACTGTAACTGAATGTGGAATTTTTTTTTCATCTCACAGCATAAACTTTAAAGTCTTGCTGTAAAATGCTCATTAGCCAACAAATCTCTTTATAGAGTAGCACTTGCTTTACAATAGACGGTGAAAGGAAGTTTGCTCTGTGGGTTGTGAGACAGTGAGGATACTTTAGGATAAAAGCTCCAACATATCAGTTTGCTAGAGCAGAAAATTAATAGAGATAGATTGGTTTTTAGTGGCATTTGAAACTATCTGCCTCTTCATCTACCAGCAGCTCTTCTTCTAAGACTGCCTGCACTGTTGTACTTTATTCTCCAACACACTGCTACAAGATGACACCTCGGATTTTTAAGCTTTTCCTGTTAATTAAAAGACTTGTCCTCCCAAAAAGCTGGGAAGAAGTTGACAGTTTCAGTTTTAAATCTGACTTATGTTAACATAGCTTTCAGGTGCAGAGGTTTTTTCCTCTGCTTTGCTTTGAACCCAGCAACTGAATTTCTATAAATTTCTCTGTGTGATAGTTTGCACTCATGACAATTCCAGACAGCAAACAGAATTGTCTAGATCCCATTACAAAATCACTCCTAAACAAATCTGTAAAAGGCTATGATATAAAAATTAATGGGTTATCACTGCCTGATCTGCTTTACAATTAAAGGGAAAATAAATATATATATTCTTTAGTATAACACAGTTGGATAAGAAAAGCTGCTTTTCATTCGCTTGCACATCCTGCCGCCATCTAAGCCCCCTTTACTTCTTCCTGTAGGATGGAAAGATGAGTCAAGTCACAATTGCATCCCAGAAGTGTCAAATCCTGTGCTTACACCCAGCTTGAATCCACAGTTTTAAGTTTATAATGGGAAGTTGGTTGGTGCTGGTCCTTCACAGTAAGACAATGAATGTTGGGCAGGAAATGAACTCTCTAAGACAGAGGTGCAGATTTGGCAGAGCACTCTTTGCTGAGCTTAGTGTCAGATTTCCCAAATAAAAAATTGAATTAAACAGACTCCTGTCTGAGAAATATCAGCTTCAGAGAAACCCTGGTAAGTGAAGGTCTTATAGAGTTTATCAGTACTTCATGCTATGTAAAGTGGAAAGTTGTTTGTAAGGTTTCCATGCATATGCTTATTCCCACAGTTACATACTAGTAAATTTTTCATCCGCTTCAGTGAGAGATGAGAGAAACTTCAAATGGTTCATGCAACTGAAGAGCACATCACTGTCATCTACCTGGGTACTTTCACCACATTTTAATATTTCAATATAGATCCCACTGAACTTTATCAAGCCAGGATTCTAATTTACATGCACAACTTCATTTTGCTTTACCTGAGATAGATAAATGGATTTCTATCCTTTGGCTTAGAGAAATCACTGCTGTTCTTTCATTTGGTTCAGCTTATGGAAATAATTGCATCTCTTTCAGAAAGAGGACAAAGAGTATTCAGCAAGAAAGCACTTTGAAACTATATTGCCTGGTTTTGAGTTACTGTTTGAGATCGTGATGCAAAAGCAAGTGAATTCAATAGCTTCTCAGTTTCAACAGTCTTTGGATCAAGTCCTAAAGGGTTATTCTTTACATTCCTTCTAATACTGTGTCAGACTGCAGAGTCAAAAAAAGAAATAAGTTTATGGATATGGCTTTGAATTTAGAATGGGATCTTAATTAGTATTCACTTTCAGCTTAATTTCAGTCACAGAAAGTTTTTATCTTTAATAGGGGAGCAAAAGGTAAGCTGAGCCATATCACTTCTCTAAATCTTATCCATACATCTTTCTGATAGAAGAAACAGTGCATGCACTGCCATCAGTACATGTAATTAGTGGCGGTATGCACAAAGAGGTATATCCTAACGAGATGCTGCAAAAATACGTGAACCAGTTACCCGTGTACAGCAGCACACGAAAAGATACAACAGAGTGGCATGATTATATCCGGGTGCCTCTGCTATAAAAAGCATTTGTATTACCCTTACTTCTCTGAATAAATTCAAATGACAGCCCCATTTCATTTCTTCATTCAGTCTGGAGGCCAGATGGCATTAGAATCATTTACTTCACCTTGTTGTGCTTAATTACTACAATCAACACACTATTTTCCAAATTAATCATAACAAAGTAATTTCATTAGTAACACAGCAGGCTGTTGAATTATTAGCATCATAACAGTTTGCAAACAATTAAACTTTATTTGAACCTTAAAAATTTGCAGAGTAGAACATTATTATAAGATCTAATGGCAGTACCATACAAATCCAGAACACAGCAAATAATCAAGTAAAACACTGTACAGTGTGAGTTACAATCACCTTTTAAAAATCCGTTCACAGAAAGGCAAGCACAATCTAAATGAACAAAGAAAATTAAGCGATTAGCATCTTCTACCCGCATTTCGTTTAAGTTGTATTAACTGAGATTTTCTCATCCAAAAAAGGTTATGGTATTCGCACAGATTTAAAGTAAACCATCCATCCGTGGTCCACCGCTGGTTTATTCTAAGATATTACCAGTGAGTTTCAGGACATCTTTCACGTTTTGAATTCAAGGCAGTTTATTTACTCTCCCCTAGCAATAGGAACCAAGCAGGGGGAAGCCCTAAAAGAGAACTACAGACAAAAGCCACTTGATGTCTCCGGTTGTCACCACCCAGACGAGGCCGCGCCGGGCAGCTCTGCCCCTCATCGCTTGGGTAAGGACTCCCTCTCCTGGAAAAACGGCAGAAACGGCGCGGGACAGCACGGAGGGGGAAGGGGACAGCGACGGCACCGGGATCCGCCTCGGGATCCGCCTCGGGATCCGCCCCCGCCCGTCCCACGAAAACCTGAAAATCTGCTGCCACCCAGCGCCGCGGCCGCGCAGCGCAAGGGCCGGGCCGGGCCGCGCCGGGGCCGCCCCCGCCCCGCGCCCCGAACCGGGCCGGGCCCGGCCGGGCCCACAGAGAGCCCTCAGCCAACGCGCCGGCTCTCAGGAGGTGGGGGAGCGCTTGCTGCCGAAAAAGGACATGGTGGTGGTGGTGGTGGTGGGATTCGGAATTCTGTAATTAATAAAAAGCCATTTCGGTGGGCAGATTTATGGCGCTGCCATGTTAACAAGGGAGAAGGAGCGTTTCCAGCCCCGCTGTTAACGCTTCACATTCTGTACACAATCCACCAGTACGCTTGACAAATTAAAGTAGTAAAAGATCTGAAGACTATAATCTATCATTTTAATGCTTCGCTGATAACGCACAGAATCAATTCCAATGACTATCTCTTTAAAAAATTACAACAAAACTCTGTCTCGTTTGATGGCCATTAGAATTCAGTGTACCAGCAAGTACCACACATCAGCTAACACAGAGCACAACATCTTAGTTTACTGAAAGGATCCAAATTCCGAGTTCAGATTGACGTTTCCTTTTAACCCACTGTGTTCCCGGGGTCTGCCTGAAGCAAAAACAGCACAAGCAGCTACACGGGGACCTGCACGGGCTCAGCAACTCACAGGCTGGCCTGAGCCGCCTCGCTGGCAGATTAAGGGTCTCACAAATCAGCTCTCTGGGAGGACCCAAAAAAGTTCATCTTGCATTCTAATGGTAAAGCACATCTCCAAAAGAAGAGTGTGTGAAGTATTTACTCTGACTTTCCCAACCACTTGTCCACAAGGGGTAGTATTTTAGTGTACTTTTTTATCTTTCAATCAATGTTTTTGATTAGCCACAAAGTTCTGGCTTTGATACAAGAATGCGGGTAGCTTTTGCTAAAACACACAGGGTGAAGATGAAGATCTCTGTTGCACAACCTGTATCAGAATTCCACATACTAGCAAGGCATCCAGATTTGACTCTGCAAAAGTATCTGTAAGGTACAGTTAAAGTATTTCACACTACCATGGATAAATTATTTTTACCTGCAATTTAGCTTATGTTGACTTAGCAAAAATTGTCGGGGTTAATATATTTTCACAAATTTTCATAGAATTACCATGTCCAAGTCAGAATAGTACCATGGCAGTATTTTTTACATCAGCAAAAGAACCAAGTCTTCGTTGTGTGTCAACAAAACAGCAATTAACAATACAATACTAAATATATGAGAAAAATAAATCACTGGCTAAAGCATAACTTTAAAACATCTGGAAACAGAATACCCTGAAGACTTGAAGTATTATACTTAAATTTCCCTCAACTTTCTAATGAAACTGCTCAAGATGTACAGTGAATATGAAAAGGTTAATGCACGCATGAATTGAATAATAGTTTACCCTCAAAGCTCTGCTTAATTTTTCTGAATATGCAGACTAGGAAAAGATAGCCAAATTCCCTGAGAACACAAACCTACAGCTATACAGAGTGCTGCTAACATGTTAAAAAAAAAAGAGCAACAAGAACTATATGGCTGCTTGTGCCCCATATGTTAATTACCATCTATTAATTTCCTAGCATTACAATTCTATAAAAAGTGGCTAAGAAGAACATTTCCGTAAAGTTATGATCTATTACAGTTTATAATGTTTAATATACACAAGGCAACGATGTGACTACATTCGCTGAAACCACAAAACATGTACAGCAGAATCTTCTTCCAGAGGCTGGGTCTGTAAACTGCAGCTGCACACCACTCTTCATTCCAAGTGCAGATTTCTCCTGATTAGGGAGAGCGAAGTTGAAAGTTCATCATTAACCAAAAAAACCTCAAACATGCATATCAAACCCTGTCCAAATATCCATCCCCTTCCACAGTTTTCTGCACAGACAGATATCTAGATATTACTAAAGTAACAAAACTAAATAGAAACAACATCAGTTTTATTTTTTAAAAAAAATCTGGGAAAGGAACGCAGTTATTAAATAAATGTTTTGTTCCCTGTGGTTTAATAATTTATATAGAATCCCAGAAAAAAAAGTACTTTAAATGAACCTTCAATATATTTTGCCATAATCTTTATGTTAACAGGACTCCTACAAAGGTTCCAGGAAAGACATACTTATGAAACAGAGAACAAGGGAACATATAAGCCATTACAGAAGATTGGATTAAAATGTACTTACCCAGGCCTCTCAAATATCATACATCTCCATTATGTAGGCTTTAGGCACCAAGCCAATGGTTCCCTTCATTTCTCCTACCCACCAGCCAAATCTATTGTACTCCTAATTGAAAACAATACGCAGTATTAACCTTTAGTCTGATATAAATGCAATAGAGTTTTGTATGCAACTCCTTATGGATGNATACAGTTATAATAATTTCAATTGAAAATTAAAACATTTTATCTTTTTGTTATAGGCATTCACGTGCAGTTAGGAAAGGCAGAAGCTAAATTTTAAAAAGGCCAGGCATACTCAAGAAAATTTCTTAATTATAACACCTACTAAAAATAGCCGACCTCCTTATTCTCTGTTCATCAAAAATACAAAAACCTTGTCTTTGTAACTAAAATCTAATAGCATAACACTGACATGTAACAATCAACAGGGAATTCTTTTAGTATCACAAGCTAAACTCTAAGAAACTTATTTTAAAAACTACTTCACTCAAAGGAAAGGGAACACTGTGTATCTAAGACATAATATCTTTCTATGGACAAAGTCTACTATTGCTTTAGGCTTGCAGAAAATTCTACAGCAGATCTCATATTCCTGACAGATGACTAATGTACTCCTGTTTCAAATATGTTTAGGCTTAGTGAGATAAATATGAAACAAAATGAATTAGTTTAAAGAAATAATACCTTCCAAAAGCAGTACCAAATAAGAGCATTGTGGTATTGTGGTATATAATTATTGAAAAAATAAAATAATGCAATACTGATGTGTAATTATTGTACATTGTGGTATATAATTTACTTTTTTCCTATGAGATATTTTAAGATCAATCCTAACAATGGTTCAATAAATTGTAACAGCTGGAATTGCACACACACATATATTGAGTTACAAATAAAGCATTATTAAAACAGAAACCATACTCAAAACTGAATGATTAGTAAGATAGAAATTACTTTGGAACAAATATGTAAAATATAAAATACACAGATATCTCTGATAAGCAGCACCCGCTTCCTGCTACATTGCTCTAGAAGAGTAAAAGGCTCTAGGATTTTGAATTACTGGTCCTACTGAGATGGAACTACTATTTTGAACTGTAGGTAAAGTTTTTTGGTTATAAATAGCCGAGTGGTGCTTAAGGGTTAATGGTGTTTCATTAGAGCCCGAGCTATAATGATTTGCTGCTGGCATATTTTGCCTGGTCAAGAGTTCTCTGGGGTCCTATGAGGTGCTTAAGTGTGCTCAGCTCTCTCTGTGCTTAACTACGATGGCCCGCTTTCATGTGGGCTTTTTTGCTTTTTTTCTTTGCCTTCTTTTGTTTTTTAATGCTTGCATGCAGGCACACACACAGTTTTGTATTTTCTAATTGTGGAAGGGTGAACACTAGTCTTCAATTCAACATTTTTTTCCTTTGCTTAACAATTAATTGGTGATTTTAAAGATTCTATGCTACTATGCATAAAATAATGCAGTAAGTGTGATTTAAAGAAAATCCACTTAAAAAGCAGCAGGAAAAACCTCCATTTATTATGCGAACATGCAAACAAGAAAGCTGCAAAAATAATTCCACCTTCTTCCCCCTTCCACTGCACAGCAGCCTGCTGGGGATGGGTTTGGTCTTGAAAGTCTAGAGGTATCCGAACCTGATCTTCAGTGCACACTCCACAGAAGTTAATAATCTTTCCCATGGGGCTTCACATTACACCCCAAATCCTTAAAGGCAAAACAATACCCTGACACTGAGGTTCATAATCTTCCAGATCAGCCTGTTTAAAAATCTATGCTTTATCTCACAATACACTGTTTAAATATACAAACTAGATTTCAAGACTGAAGTGGGAAATTGCTGAAAGGAGCAGCACTCACGTATACTACTGGAATCTCAGCAATAAATCTCTCCAAGAGAAAGCAGCAAAAGATTTTAAGCTGCTACATGGAATTTGCACAGTGACTGACAAGAGTGATTAAGCAAGTTTTGCTAGACATCAGCCAAAAAAACAAACAATACATGAAATGAGGGAAGTGGCTCAGTTAAGCAGTCATTAAACTGCATATGACAAATGGCACAGAAAAAGCCTGTGGATTACATTATCCATTGAAAATGTTCCACTTAGCAACACTACATGGACTTAGAAACAATTGTTTTTAAAGAAACAATTCAGATAGCTCAAATTCAAATTAAAAGCATGCTGCTGTTTTGAAAACTTTCTGGGTTTTGCTACTTACTAATACACCACTTACTGCTCTGGCATGAAGCTAAGTGAGAAGATGAAATGAATGTTGATGTAACAGACTAGTAAACTAATTTAAGGATTCGCTGCAACCATTATACTGTACAGACAATATTGCAACACAGAAGCCTTTGCTTTACATTACTATTCTTTGCATGGGTCTCAAGAGCAACATGAATCCCAATTAAACTATCTGCAGTCTATACAAGTCTGAACAAAAATATAATTCAGATACCTGGCTACCAAGAACATAAAATCTTAATATCTGGTTTCAGAATAATTAGATAGCACTCCCTTTTAAACTGATTAAAATACAGACATTTCTCTTTAAACTCCTAACCCCTCCTTCCTATCCTCAGTAGCATGAAAGAGCGCTTAACTAGTGAGGCAGATAAGCAGCCCCTCTAGTCCTTTCTTGAAGTCACACATAAAATCCAAATTGATGTATTGTTTCTATCAATGTTATCAATTATAAACTCCTTTGCAGCAATATAATTTCATTAATACACTGCTGTTGTGAGGTCCATATGTCTATTATTGCTGCTTAAGACGTGTAGAATAAAAGTCTGCAGTCCACGTTTGCGGAAAATAAGGATTAATATACAGAAGGCTATGAATACAGTTAGGAGTTTTACATGAATAAAAAAGTTGGGAAACACTGTGCTTTTGCAAGCATCAGCTTCAGATCTCAGGTACCACTGGGTTTACCATCTGGTATCCCTCACTGCATTCAGCTCTTAATATCACTGCTAACATAGGCAAGCGACTATACTTCAGAAGGACTGATAAAATAATGAAGAGTCCTTTAATCTACAGGAAACCATTGTAGTCAATTTATAAGAAATATTGCATCCCTTTGTAGGATGTGTAATTATTTTCTATTAATCATGTGCTATAAAGCTACATTATGTGGTTATTCTGTTATCACTAGAAAGAGGCCTGCAGTCAGCTCCTGACAATGTTAGGTAATTACTAACACAAAGCTTCTTTCTCCTTATGTAGAAACGCTATCAAGATCCAGAGGTGCTGTGATGCTCGCTGTATGAAAATAACTCTCCAAAGAAATTCAATAACTGCAAAATGAATTGCTCCAAGGCAAATAGAGGGATAGGAGAGGGGGGCAGGGCCAGATCCAGCCACCCTGCAATGAGGAGAATGCACAAGTGTGCGGCCACGCTCCACCATGTGACAGGGAGCACATTTGCCATACCAGGCAATGTCAGCAGGGCTGGCGGGAGGAGGGGGCCACCACAACCCCCCCTGCCCCCCCGGAAGACAAGCACCAGGGCAATGGAATATATTATGCTACATAATATGAAATGACCAAATGCTTTCTAAGCTACTTCTGCATTTCCACTGTCATAGACTGGATTATTTTTTTTCCCCAGCAGAAATTTATTAACCAAAGTGAAGTAATTTCACAGGGCAGGAAGGAACAGGTTATGATTTAACATTTAACATGCTGGCAAAACACTCTCTGTACAGCATGCCAGATAGCAGGGGGTAAAAATCCCATAAGGGTTTACGGGCTCCTTAAATGCTCTCAACTGAACACACTGTGAGCAAATGCTTCTCCTTGTCCTCATCCCACCCGTTTCACTGCACCATGTCCTGGTACCCGTGACTTCATGAGACAATGATCATAAAACTTTTTGTATTTAGGGAAAACACAATAATTAGCAATATACTCTCTGTTTTCTACAGATATCATTTAAGTCCAAGATTTTAGTCCTCTACAGAAGAGAATTTTGATGTTTTGACATACAAAATGAGAAAAATTTTATACTTGAGGATTTTCAAAGCAGTTGCTACCTTCAGAACAGTTCCTCTGCCAATATGAGATTCTCCAGAAGCTTTGCAGCACATACACTTCTAGTGACTACAGCAAAAATTGAGAACATCTAGTTCTTGTGCAATTAGTCTCCATTGTTGAATACATATGGTATGTTTTTTCGTATTTGTGGTGTGGGTTTTTTTATTTGTTTGGTTTTAAAAGAGTTGCTGAAAATTATCATTGTGTTTAAATGCCTTGAAGAAAAAAAATGAGTTGTATTTTAAAAAAATACAACTGAAGTATGTGAATTCAAGATTTTTCTCCTTCCTTCTTCTAGTGGCACTGTAATACTGACTTATGGGGTGAATATCTGCAAACATTAAAACTTAAAAGCAAAACGTATCTATAGCCCTGTTTGGGGTTAAAATAAGTAACCTCTACTATCAAGCTAAATATGTGTCAGAAGCAGGGATAAATTTTTTGCCAAGAACATCCTAGGGTACAATTTTGGCACGATAATAGTTTAAAACATCTCCAATTCATCCAGGAGATTCATACTAGCTTAAAAGTTTTAGAACTTCCTTTGGTGTAATTGTTGAATGATACACTATCAACCAGGGAGCAGTTTTGGCACAGAACAGCATTTTCTCTAAAAGCAGAGAATGACAAATGTCTTAAATAACTGAATGAGACTTCTTCACAGGTAGTAGAGTTGTTTTAAGACAGCAATAAAATGGTCATCTTTAAAAATGTAAGTGCCAGATTTATTGTATGGTTGCGTTATTAGGTTTTATTTCCCACAATGACATGAGAGAAAATATACAGCAATTAAAGATTTCCAATATAAATCACAGTAAGCAGACTGAGTTCTGAACCAAAACAACCCCCAGAAAACACCCTGGAACAATAGAAAGGCCATTTTATTTTCCATTAGATGACACGTGGCCAACTTTTTTTCTAGTCTGATAGGTAAAGGCTTACATATTATCAGTATGCAAACCAACAGAGCTAGAGCCACTTTGCATTAGCTCTAGCCAACCTTCCCTTTAAAGGCCTTCACTGTTGTCTTTAGACATATACTTATTGTTCTCCCATCCCCACGCATAAAGATGAAAACCAAACAAGCCAGGAAACAGGCAATGTACAACTGAGTATTGCATTTGAGTTTTGATCAGAAGCCTCCCACTGAAGGGACTCTCCCAAAGCTCCCACCTTCCCCCCACTGGCTCCCTTTGCAGAGCCATCAGCCTCAGAGCACACACACTACATTTATTTCAGATAAAGCTAAAATGGAAGATGCACTTGAACATGCTCCAACCATTAATGTGTTCTCATTCCACAAAATCAGGCTAGACCTCTTTGGACATCAAATAGCTTTGAAAAAGCATGGTGTGGACACCAGGGCTCAAGCACTAAGTGTTCCATTCTGCAAATCTGCTCCTACTGGTACTCCCTATTTGTTAGAGGAGGCATAGGCAGTATGGCCATGGAATAGAAATTACAGACCTCAGTATGATCAGCCAGAAAACAACCTGACAAAACACTCAGGATTTTAGTATGTCTTTCACATCTTTTGGAAAAAATACTGAATAAATACATTTTATTAAGATTATACAGATAGTGAACAAAATGTTCACAGTGATTCTGAAACAGCTGCATGATTAAGTTGCACCTTTATTTCATAAACAGTAACATGAGCTGTGGAGATTCTTTGTCTTTTCACTAGGCAAAAAATGCAGGTTGAGATGTGAGCATTTTAACGTTTATTGTATTGAAAGAACAAAAATCTGCCACACTTGAAACCTACAACTACTGAAAATACAGGGTAATCTAAGCACCAAGTTAACTCTACTTTCATGAAAAATTCTTGAGCAAAAGGTTGTCATAGATGAGATTTCCATGAATCATAAATACCAGAGTGAGCAGCAATGGTGTGCAATGAAATACTAGCAATTAAAAAGAATTCTAGTTTAAGATATAATTTCTGATTTTGAAGAATTTTCTATTTTAATACAAATATAAATAAGTATATTAAATTAGTTTAATGTTAAGATATGCCAGTAATTCTACTAAGCAGATGCCCACTAACATATCGAGGTAAATTTTCACTATTACTTGCATTTGGCTGATGAAACTATGGAACTTCATAACACAAAATATAAACCTAAAGCAAATGAACAAGTAGTGCAAGTGTTGCACTTGCATAAATTGTGCATACAAAACTTAGGAAAATAAAATAGAACTACCTCCATCCACAGTTATCTTTGTTCCTGGAAATTGATTTCTTGAGTAGAGCTACGGAAGATTTATAAAAATGATTGCTATACTATGGTCTGTTTTCCCATTTATCACGTGGGCTTGAAAGCAAAGGCAAGCCCATAAATGAGCAGGAGTTAAGAGCAATCTTCCTTTTAGAAAATAGGACTACAAAGTATTGCATTTCTAACAGTCAATATTAACTAAGAAATGTTATTAACAAGTCTCTTTATCAGTACAGCTATATTTTTTTATTACAAAATGGAATAAGGATATATAGTTTTCAGAAAGTTCACATCATTCATAGCATAAGTGATAAAAGCCACTTGAATATTCAAGAATATTATAAATTAAAATAATAGTAATAGTATATCTGTACAGATACATTGATCAATTAATCTGAAATGTTAACTACGTTTTTAAATAAAGTTAAGAAGTACTATTGTGATAGTTCTGTTAATTCTGCTCAGATTAAAAACTCAACTTTTGAGGGAAACTTGGAAGAAAAACCTAGAAAAAAGTTGTGAGGCTTTTGGGGCTTTTTCGTAAAAGCCCACAGGACTGCTGCCACACAAAAGCCACAACTGACATAAATATTTAGAAAATAGCTTAAATAGTTTCTGAATACACCTTTAAAACAAGAAAAACATGCTTTTCTACAGTAACTGCACTAGTTGGGCATAGGTATTTCTGTTGTCAGAGTATGAGCTCATGCTCAGTGCAATAATACTGAGTTTTGATGCTCCTTTAAAAGCAAATTCTGAGGATTTGTCTTTGCATAATACTTAGTTATTTTAGGAAGTAAACACTGCCAAACTGAAACCATGCTCATTTGTCTAAAAGACATTTACCTAGAAACTTACATGGAAAATATTGTTCCTCTTGCTTTATTTAAATTCTATAAATCCCCAAATTTGCTAAACTGGTTTATAATTACTTCTGTTATACTAATGATCTCATTTCTTGGAAACTAATAGTTCCTTTCTCCTTAATTTCTATACAGGTATGAAAAAAGCTGGTAAAAATATATTGCTTTGGTATAACTATTGCTGGGAGAGATGAATATCTATCTTATCACGTTCATCAGAGCAGGCTATACCATTTATATTTCACTGTAAAACAAAGAACTATTACATGTTGCACAAATATGCTCGATATTTTGTTAATGCTTCACCCTTCCTACTATAACATGGCTATACCCGTACTTACTTCCTTATCAGCAAAATGTGATTTTCAAGAGTAATGTTCCTGGCTGACATATGATAGAAAGGCAATAAAGCCACGGCTAGGTTCAGCTGAAGCTGAATTTATGACACCATTTTGGATGCATACACATCGCCCTCCTGTCAGTACCTGCATCTCTCATTTTCAACCACTAGATGGTGTGAAAAAATTAAAAAATTGCCTGGGATTCCTGCCGACTGCCACAAATCCGAGTATTAATGTAGCGGATTAGGAAATATTTTAGAAGAAAAGTCTTGACCCACTTCAGGATGGTTAGGCTCACTTTTCCTTTGGTTATATTTTCACTTGCTGGACAAAGAACTCATAAATGATTGGACCTTGAAACTGAATCAAGTGGAGGGTTAAGATAGATAATTCTCTGGCACTTTCCCCTCCAAGGACCCTAAATTCCCAGCTGACAGTAGTGGCCAACACTCATTTTTCTGAAAAAGCTGTAACAATCTTTAAGCGAAACAGGGCTGAATTTTCTGGGCTGTATTTTGGAGTAGAAATCACTCCCATAGAGAGAGGTTCTATATATCTGGAGCAGCAGCAAGCCTGCTTCAAGGACCGATTACGGATTAATCACGGTGTGGCAACAGGACGGTTGATATACAGAGGACAGCTTAAGCTACTGTTTTTCTATTTGGCTCCATTTTTTAAATTAAATTTCTCACTCTTTTGGGGAAGGAGTAGCAAACAATTTTTTTCACCTACAAGCTGAAGATTAAGATTTTATAGTTCCCATAATGTACCCAAAGAGCACAACCCACAAAGAGGCCAGACTCGTACAGTGGAATCCATTCGCTCATGGGCTTTTTGGGGGGAGCGAGAGGGGGAAGAGGTGGTTATTTTAAATTAGTACAATTCTTCAGTGCTGAATAACTGCTTGAAAGTTTGCCCAATCCACAGGCTTTATTCAGCCTTTAGTAATGCAATTCAGTTATTAGTTTAAGTGACAATGAAATACCTCAAAAGACATACATGGTCAAATTAATATTAGTAATACATCTTCTATATTTTTATATAGGACTGTCCTTCTATCCATAAATCTTAAATTTATTTAAAACAGAAGCTATTACATTTATTATCCAGAAATGTAGTCAAAGGTATCACAGAAGATTTAAAGCAATTGTGACAAAAGTTAATTTGAAACTAGGACAAACAGATGCCTTTAGCTTTCATGCACCTACTTGTGTATTTCAGTGACCTACAATATTTTTTGTGCTAATTACACTGAATGGCAATTAGACAGATGCATATTTTAAAAAGTAGTTTTTTTCAAGGAGAACTTTAAAAGCTCAGCTTTTTTTGTTCTAATATATGGGTAAAACAGAAATTTCCTCTGATCAGTTGTTCAGAGGTAGACTTCAATGGACCATGAGATATATATTTTAACAGAGGTTTTGGTTTTGTTGGAGAGGTCAAGGAAAAATCCGAAAATTAACCAACATTAACATAGAATAAAACTTCATGCCTTTACTGTTTAGTGTCAATTCAGATGAGAGAAATTATCTTTCTCATTTGCTTTGGAAACAGAAAAGTAGTAAAAATTGCCCAAATCTGTCAGAGCAAACAAATTTGGAATCTGAGCTCTCAGAACAATAACAATATACATACAAAGATGAAAGCACAGTTCAAAAAAACAAACCATCTTCTGTAGCAAGATCCAAAAAAAGTCAGAATCAGCAGAGTCAGGAATATAAAACAGGAAACAAAAAACATAACATACAAGATAACTTAAAATTCTACAAGGTTAACATCTACAAGCAGAAAGTACATTGTCTCCTGTTAAGTCAGTTAACAAATGGTAGCCAAGATTTAACAAGTAAATAAACATGCTTTAAAGTGAATTCCTGTTATATGGCTATGTTTTAATTGTGATTATAGTTCATTTGACAAAATAATTAATTGCAGTGACTATCTGATGGCATACAAAGGATCTGAAAGGGAGTGCCAATTTCCCCCCACCAAACTGTGGGAATGTGCCCTTGTGCCATGGCTCTCTTTTTACAACCATGTAGCCCCAGTAGTGTCTCATACCTTGCTGATAATGTAGATAACGTCACCACGTTTAAATGTCAACTCATCAGTTTCATCTCCTGTGCAGTCCCACAAACCTTGATAGAAATTGGCATAATCGGTATTTTCGCTATCTGCAAAGAAAACAGCATCTAATTATAAAACAACCAAGATTGAGTATAGCTAAAGTTACTCTTTAAATCTCCAGATAGTACAAAGCAATTTATTAGCACACATTTCTTATTCCTCTTTTCAGAAACAGCTCCCTCCTGCCATGAAAGCAAGTGAAAAATAAGTTTAATGCACAAGCCCTTCACTGGCAAGTTGCATCACTGAGAGACATGTAGCTACAGGCTTTCAAAGCATTTTTCAAAGCTGCAACTTAAAGCAGCTATTTTTCCTCTACCACTGTATTTGTAGCAAGCCATATATGTATCCCAACTTGAAACTGATAAAACTGCTAGAATACAATTAATAACGATCAGTGAAAGGAAGCTAAAGTATTTTGTGATTCACTCCCCCTCTCTCTCCTGTTCCAACAAAATTAAACAGCTTCTCTGAGAACGTTTGAGATAATCCTTGATTCTTCCTTCTGAAATACTGGAGAACTTGGAAACTGTTGCTGAAGCTGCATTTCAAAAATATTTGTGTCAGCTCCAGTTTAGGACATTAAGCCCTGGCTAAACGTGCAACTACACTACAGTCATAAACTCATCCTTCTAACAGCATAAGCACAATGGATGTGCTGTGTTCAAGCTGCCATACAGACCATTAACTGATTGATTATTTAGCACTCTTTGCTCTGTAATACGGCAATAACACAGTAATAAATGCTTTGTCATACATTTACAATACAGAGTACATCTATTGAAACACAGTGCTCACACACAGTTAAATACACTGGCTGCTTCTGTTGCACTGCAAACTATTTCCTGTTTTTAATTCCATGAGAATGGAGTGTGATGAGTTAATGCAAAAAGAATGTAAGCAATACCACTAAGATGACCGGTTACATTATGTATACACTAACCAGACAGAATGTATATGTACTAATAATTTACATCACTGGAAAGCTATCTTCTAATTCTGATAACATAAATATCACTGAACTGGCTGGATCAAGGCTGTCATCTTAGTTTTGTTATATGATCCTTGAACTGCGGGCTTGCTGGTTATTCCAACATACACCAGTTACATTTGCATGTTGTGAGCACTCTACACCATTATTTATAGTTTGCAGTTTAACCATGACTGGTTCATTATATTACCAAAAAATTCTGCTAAAATATCAAGTATCAGAAGATAGAAAGCATCTCACTATAAAAGAATAGCTGTACTCTACTTGTGTTCTTCTCTATTTTGGCAAATACTTAGATTTGAATTTTAATATTCTCTGTATGAGCAAGAAGAGCTTGTTTTCTCTTTCTCTATTTCAGTCTATGTTCTGTGCTATCTTGTTTGGGTGGCAATACTGTCATAAGGCTAAATATTTCACAACCTTCAATTCAAAGCTGCTTCTCCAGTTACCCACAATTTAATTTTCCATAAAGTGGTGATTAGGAGCTACGACTTGCTGTGTAGCACTAGGGGGCGTTCGGGCTGCCAGGGCCCAAAATCTTCTGTCCTCACCCCAAAAGCATCAATTTTATATCAATTGAAATGAAAGCTCACAATCATTCAGAAATAAGAAATTTGGTTATTTAAAAATACACAGACATAATCATTTCAACATGAAGGCATAATCAGTTTGAAATGTTGCACCTCCAGATTTTGGCCTTTCCTATTTTTCACCTCATTATATACCAATTTAGCATTAGACAATTATAAATAGTAACACTGGTTAGCACAAAATTAATTTGCGATAAATATTAAATCAGAATCTCTCCTTGGTCATTTCTTACTGTACTGATCACAGTTCCCAACTCTGTCATAAACAATAACATAAGTCCACATGATAAAAAAAATAAAAGAACTGTTTTCATATATCCCACTTCTCAAATCATTCATCAGTTGGCTTATTGATTTTGTATAAAACACATTAATCAGGACTTTTACTTCTTCAGAACATCACTGAAAGAAATCATGACTTTTCACACTGACCTTTATCACTTTGAGCTCTGCTCTTACATTTATGTGCCTGAAGTTATTCCTGTTAACACTAAAGTGAGTTGCAACAGAAGAGACCCAACAGGGAGTGGGACATGTCTCTTCTTTTATGTTCATCACGAGCATTTAATTAAGTTTTTAAGTGGAAAGCAACTCAATTAATAATGTGAACACACTGGAAAGATGCATTTTAAAATAAGCTTCTTGCAACAGCAAAGATACTGACCAAAGACTAACCATGGCTCTGCACCTTCATTTGTGAATTCAATGTAAGATAGGGTTGTTTAAATCAGAAAGCCACATTTTTCAGAAAAAAAAAAAATATACCAGTATACCAGGAGTACAGGAACAAAAAACATGGAAAGAAAGTGGCAATGTAAGTTGGTGAACAAGAATAACTATGCTGGTCTTTCAAGAAGTGTTAATTTCAAATCTGAAATCCCCTCTCATGCCCACCAGCACAAGTTTCCCCAAATTCTATAAGGTCAACTACCTATACATAAAAGACAATTGTAAATGTAACTTCAGACTTTATACATCTAAAGTGGAAAAGACTTCATAAAATGATTCATAATGCTTACAAACACAGGTGTAGAATGAAGAAAAAAAAAAAGGCTGCAAAAACCTCTGCAAAATACAAGCCCACTCATTCTTACTTTGGTCCCTTTCAGTTTGAGAAGACCTTGACAAATTTCCTTGTATTGCCTCTGATTGCAAAATCATTTAAAAAAAGCATAAAACAAAACCAGGAGGTCTGAGTAAAGGAATTTGGCATTTATATGGCAGTGAAATAATCTGAAGCTTCTTAAATACATGTAGTACCTGAAAACAGATGGATTTAGCATCAAGAACTTACGTGCCCATTACAGTTCAAATTCAAAGGGTATTGATTTGCTGGTGTTACTCTTACAATTATACTCTATTCTCAAACATTTAAAATGTTGTGTGCCTTAAAAATACTATGATGACATAATTGCTAAACTGAAATGTGTTGCATTTTGAAGGTATGGTCACTTGGCCACAAATACAAATAAGACATGATAAAAAAAATTAAGTGTGTAGCTGAGGGCAGAAAGCAGTTTGGTTTTACCTGCCCACTGCTTTTAAGACTACCAATCCCAAGAAATGGGTGAGTAGGATTTTGGATAGGTTGTTTCTCCAGAAACTATTTCTTTCATTCCAGGACAGTTACCTCAATGAACTATTAACAATATAACAATGAATTATCCAATAGCTTCCAGTATTTTTCCTAAAATAATTCCTTGTGGTTTACTTCTGCCATCTCTGCCTTTCCAGTAACAGTAATAGGAACAATGGATATTTTTGCTCAATATACTGATGAAAACAATTCAGAGTTATTTTGACAGATCAAAAGGCAATGGCTGCCAGCCTCTCTGACAATAGTCTCAGACTGCTTATTTCACTGAAAAATACTATCATCTGACAATACATGCTTGAAGAAAGAAGGGCGAACAGTTCAGGTAAAAAAAAATTTTTTGGCAAATATATCACTCAAGCATGCATCTCAAATATTAGACTTTTTAAAACTTAGGAATGCCCAAGCATTATTCAAGGGGGAAAAATTATAATAATATTCTAACAACCACAACAGACAGAAAAGAAGAACCAAACCACAATTTGAAAAACAGATTAATAGTGCATATTTCAGAGGGATTTAAGTGTGCTTTCCCACTGCAGCCTAAGCCAATGTAACTGCAGGTTGTTCAATTTCTGCCCCCTACATTGTGACAATTTTTGCAATTCCCATTTCTGAGCACAAACCTGAGAGAACACTAAACTGACCAAAACAAAAGCATGAATTACAACCTAAATATGAAAATGCACTACATAAAACATTAGGATAAATGTGATTGTCCCTGATTTCCCTCAGTCATCCATTTTAACACTGGTGGCATGTAAGTTAGCAAACCCTACTATGGTTGTGATTTAGAGCCAGTAGTTTTATTATTTGTTTGCACATTCCTTGTGGGATGAAGGAATACATGTGAATGTTTTCCATTCACAACTGAGGTTCACTGCCTAGTATATTAAACAGCTTGCCATTCTGACTCATGTTCCTCAACTCTTGGTAAGATTTTTCAAAAGTTAATAGTGTCAGATTTGAAGATTACTTAACAACATTTGGTAAAGACAAACTGTAGCCCCTTTTGGTAAGGATGTGCTCAATTTTTACCATAGTGAAGGCTTAAAGATGGTGGTACAGCTGAAGTTCAAAATTAAGGCTACCAGAATGAGTGTCTTACACAAGTGATCTAGACTCTCAGTTTTGAGTCTCAATCACCAGACAAGACAAGCCCTGTTAAAGAATCCAGTTATTTGTTAGCTCTGATGATGTCCTGAACTTCAAAAAATGCCTGTTACTTACGTGCTCTTTATCCCACAGGCCAGAAAAGTTACAAAATAAGGGCAAAACAACTGTAGTATATTTATTTGGACTCAAACTTTAATGTATTCCAAGATGTTCGGTTTAATCTTTCTCACTTCCCTCCTCCTGTTCCTTAGTTACCCTAAAATCATCATATTTACACTGATAAAGCAAAAAAAAAAAATTAAATACACTTACTGAAATAATGGTTGTGAAATTTATAATGGGTAGATAGTCACAACAAAAAAGACACAGCAAGCCATATTATGTAACTGAAACTATTCAGTGCTTTGGTATTTTTAAATTATTAGGTCACTAGCAATTAGTGCAAAGCTATCCAGAAGCAAGAGTCAGCACCAAGAACAACAGAATAAAAAGAACTTGAGTCTGAAAGTTAATTGAAGTAGAAATATGTTAGGGCAAGAAAAGAGGAGGAAAAAAAGAAATTTTTTTGCACTAGTCAGCTTGAGCTCATAGACAATTTGCAGAATATTTTCTGTGAGTTCAGGTTTAGTAAAGCTAGGCTATAAATTAAACTTAAGAATGTATGTGCTGTTTGTGTAGAAAATCATAAAATATTCTCAGGTCGTGTCAGATATTTATGATGTGATGCCTATCAGAAACACTCATGTCAACTCAGCCCTAGAAGTCAAACAAATTTCCAGTGTTAAATAGTGAACTATGTAAGATCAGATCACAAAACTATTGCTTGAAATGAACCTGACATCTGGGGGAAACTGCTATGGTATTTTCAATGACATTATACAAATACTAATAAGACTGATAAGGCTGTTCTCATAGCAATTAAAATTTTTCAAAAATGCAGTTGCTAAGGTTTTGGTTTTTTAAAAGTATGACCAATTAGAACTTCAGAAAGGTACATTAGTGAAAAAAAAATGCTGTTGGCAACTTTATAATTGGATTGACCCCACGCTCCATTATGACAACACACTCATATAATTACAGTAATGTCTAAATGAGTACTAAATATTAAGGCTGTAATGAGTCATGTTGTTTTACACATGTTTTTAGCAGAGCACAATGCTAACAGCATCTGATGGCTTGGCTCTTGTTTCCTTTCCAAGAAAAGCAACCCTAAACTCCTCACAGCAACCTGTTCCTGGCTTTCCTGTATGGGTCAGGAAATCAGGCCTCTGTTTCCTCTCCACATGTTGCAACAGGAAGAGCACTGCAGAGCTACTTCCTAAAGGAACTCTTCTTGCCCACCCCTTCCTTGACAGCCCTGAAAGAATTATGTGTTTTATGTACGATGGGGGAAGGAGAGCCAGCTTGCATGTCAGTGCCGGTCACAGTTACAATGCAGCAGATCTCAGAAAGGTGTAAGGTCTGATAAGAAGCTACTCTTCTCTACTTGCTGTGTCAAATCACCAGTAGTTTATCTAAAGGTCTGTGCCCTTGAAGCACAAAAATACATTGTTTTTAAGCATAACTGGAAATACCTTTCTATCAAGAAAAGTTGCCTGCCTATGTGACTTTACATGGTGCATGCAGTTATTTTTCCAGTCCCAGAGATAATTAGCACAAGGGCGCTTTGCCAAGCTAAAGCAGAGAGAATATCCTTCACAGCCTTTCTGGGCATTTGTGTCCTTTTCCAATTTTTATGCTGCTGTCACTGGACTCTGGCATTTCTTACCCGATTCATTTGCTTTCTCTGGTAATCATATGCAATGAAGATATGCATGGCCAACATTTAAACAGGCTGCAGATCAATTAGTGGTCTTAAGTTTATCTGATTTTTATCAAAGAAGACAGAGCTTTGGGTCGATTGTCAGAGCCTGTGTCAAGTTGACCTTTTCAGAGACGTCTACATTGCCAGTCCCTTGGGCAACTTGTTGTCCCCTGTTAGTCTCTGAATGGCAGAAGTCTGTTCTGCTCAAGCACAAAGTATACACAGATGTCTATATTACATTCTTATAGGTTTGACAGAAACTGCATGTTGTATCTATAAACTGTCCTTTAGCAGTGACACTTCCTCAATGATGATAAGCTAATTTATGCAACTAAATCTCCTTTGTGCAGAAATGAAAGCTAATTGAGTCATTACAAAGTAATTCAGGAAGGAATACCTTGTATAAATTGGCTTACTTTATAAATCCTTCTCAAGTGGTTTTCATGCATCCTAAGTGGTGCTTAAGCAGTTTTGCTGCCATCACATACCCGGATAAAAAAGATAGTTTCACAGAGCTATAAAAACATTATTTTAAAACAGCAAATGGAAGAAAAAAGAAAATAAAGGTAAAAAGAAAGTGTATACACAAGATAAATTTAATTACCTGAAACAGTGGTAACTACCTCCTGGCTCTCATTGCTTGGCACTTCAGCGTTTGAAGAAAGACGTTCTTCTGCAAAACACATAACTGCAAATGAAATTCTGAAGGGTCACCTCAGCTAACAGGAATTACAGCCCACATCAGCCTGAAAAACACACTCTATATTTCCAGACTGTAAGCTTTGTTTACTATTTTGCACTTATACAGAAGTTGGAACATTGTTATTTCTATGGTTTCCGCCATCCATTCAAACACTCCAAGAGCTTTCTTTCAAAATCTCAGTTGTGAACATCTGTTTCCCTTTTCACTCTGGTCTGAATGCAGTCATATAGAGCTGCAGTTCTGCTGATTTTCAGTCATTCCAAGATAATTAGAATGAGGATCCTCTTCTGCTGCATACATTTCTTGCCAGAAAAGGATAAAGAAAAGGTGTGAAAAAGAATCCCCAGCCCGAGCAATAACTCAAGAAAGCAGTATGCAATGAAAGGAGACAACACCTTACCTTCAACACTATCCTACAGACACAGTAGCTCAACACCTGCATGATGGGAACACAGCCACTACAGATACCATGCCTTTCACTGCTCCTGCCCACTGTGCCTGACCACAGTTTTAAGCAAGCCAGACTCTATCAAATGACTTAGTGCAAGTTTAGGAGACGAGGAAAGAGAAAACCTGGCAGTGATCAGCTCTAAAGCGTGTTTTCTGGCTAGCAGGCTTGGAACGCTCTGAAATCCCCATAGGCAATTTCAAAAGATGTGCTCCATACTCCCTGTCTGGCACAGACATTGAACTCTCTCATGTCCAGACCTTCACATGAGTAAATCCACACTCCACTCAGTACAGGGACATCAGATCAGCTCTCACATTTCCCAGTACAGCAATACCAGATCTGCTCCTTGCATTTCCCAATCTACAATTCTGTTGATGATGTAAAAAAGGGGAACAAACTTTTAGCTGAATCCTGCCTTTAGGTTCATAAGGAAGTAGAAACAAATGTATCCGGGCATTTACAGTATATCAAAACTGACAAGGCTGCTGTGCTGAATGAGGAAATAGTATATTGATAAATAGTATATTCTCAAATATGAATTGGACTTTTAATACATTTAAACTATCTGGTCTCACTACTCATCACATCTTAAAAAGAAGCTTGACTATCTGTATAAGATACACATTTCAGCAACTGATTTTGATATTTTACTAATGACAGACGATAGATAAAGTACTCACAGTGTTCCTCATTGTGCAACTCTTATGTAATTGCTCATTTAATTTGACAGAGAGTGAATTTTTTATCGAGTTCAAAGGATTTTTTAGCCTTGTAAAAATTTTATCTATCCACAAGACTGTTCCTGCAAACATTAAAGCAGATGTTTAAAGCACAAGAGTAGACCTGTTGGAATGAGTATGCATAATTGCTGCTAACCTCTATACACAGTCCTTCAAATATTACAATTACATCATAAGATTCACACTACAAAGAGCTTTGAAATTCTGCCCTACTAAGCCAGCAAGATTTTTTTAATTGAACCTTGACTAGTTAAAAATCTGGTCAATATTAATATAAAATACTTTTTAAGCCTAGGTGGGGGGGAAAGCAGAGGAAAAAAAATCCTAGCAATAGAACAGGAGAAATCTGAAGCTGTAGTACACAAAAAAACACTCTAAACTATGTACTGCATTCAGATATTCAAATGTATTCCCCTACTTGGCATTAACATTTGTCACACATTTCCAAGTATGCTCATCTGTTTATTTTAAGAACTCCCAATTGGAGCATAAATGGCAAAAATGCATCCCTATGTGCTGTCCAGAGCACTAGGAGGCACTGTCATTCTGTGGGTTCCCTACCATGGTTACACCCCTCACAGGGAGTAGTACCCCACTATCAGTCACATTTGTAGGATTGCTCCCTTTCCCCAGAAAAAAACACCTTCATCCAACACACTCGGTATTATATTATTCTTTCATTAAATAGATACTGATATTACATGTTACTGAATGTTTGGAACCTAAATCCGTTGCTGTGTTGAATGTCCTATGGATTTTAACTCTATCATTTGTCATGGTCATCAGACTAGTTAAACTGAGGACTGACTCCAGTAGAGGGTATCCCAACTAAAGTAAAGCAGCAGCAGAGGTTTGAAGAGACTGTTTTTAAGGTACAGCTGAATACATGTAGACTGCATTATGATTTCACAGATAATATTTAGAATATATGTATTCTTCTGAAAAAATTATTTCCTAGAAACGAGAGTTAACCAGATCCACATCTGAAGATATGAAAATGTCTGAATCAAAACTCTTTGAATTCCAAAAGGTGCCAACTTCAAGCAAAAACTCACCATATTTGCATACTGGTTTGGATCTCAACCATCCCCACTTATCCCATCATGCTTTACACTACAGAGATGTCACAGAGAGGTTGTCAATGTTTCAGGTACAATTAGATGGGAAGAGGCACTCCAGAAGCATGCTGGACATGGTCCAGCTGCTAATGGGCATTCAGTCCATGGTATCAGGCTAAAGTGACTCCATAGGAAACCTCCTCTGAAACATGCACAACAAACATCAGGTCCTTGGCACAAATCTCTGCTTTATGAATCTGTTGCAAATGGTTCATACTATTTGCAAATGCAATCATGCTCAGAGTGCAGCAGCAGTTGTAGTAGGCTTGGCTTAGGGTAGTAAAAAAGAACCTGTGGTTCTTAATTCATGTTTTGTGGTATTATGGCCTGAAGCAGTAACTATGTGCAGGGGGTGTCCTTTAAACACAGCAACCTCGATTACCTCGGGAATTACAGCTGCAGTCTGATGCAAGATGCATAACTTTCTGTTGCAACATGGCATAGAGTTAAAAGATGAAAAATTAAATTTAAAAATACCGTAGAAATGTTTCTGGTTTTTTTAAGATACTTTGTATAAGGAGTCATGCATACCTTTAAAATAATCTGTTTAGTTTTTCCTCTGTACGTCTTCTTCACGCCATCACTATCACTGCACAGCGAGAATATTCTTCTCCACCTTCTTACTATGTCAAAATGAGACTAATCTACACTAATCAAACCAATGAACTCTTCTAGAGCTGTAGATGCTAAGAACCTCAGATTATGTTCCATACTATGCTAATACTTAAGATACTTAATGGCAAACAACCTACAAAATTCTTGCAATAATGCAACAAGGAACTAACTATATTTGTTACAGGGTTTTTTTCAGTTAGTCCATGAAAGTTGTTGAAAATAATTTACTTATTCAATTTGCGGTTTGAAGAAAAAACAAAAATAATCACCCAATCAAATATGATTGTGCCATCCACAAAATTTAAGAATTGAACAATGAATTCTACACTTGCTGACGTTTTTTACATGAATCCATTAATTTTTTTTTCTTTCAATTTCTTTTTTCTTAAAGGGAGGAAGGAAAAAAGATTGGACTACTTGAGTATAAAACAGCTAAGAGTTTGGCTTGAACAGTGCATTCCTCCAATGGAATGTGGTATCTCCATGATAAACATGTATAAATTTAGCAGTTTCCTCTACTAACATGTTACTTAACCATCTTTTTACATTAGATTCTAATTTAATACCATTATTACTTAGTATTTTATTGCCTTCTAGTTTCTGACACATTGTCATTGCACAATACTAGTTTACACCTTGAGTAATCCCAGTTTGTGTGTTAATATATTCTATTCAATGCTTTGATTACAGTAAACAAAACCAGCTCAGCTATGCAGCAAAATCTACCAAACCACACAGATGGTTATAAGCTTTTCATTGTGTGGTTTCCATAGCAATCATATTGCAAATCTGGAAGCTTCTTGCAAATAAGCAGCTTGTATTTACATGCCTCTCGGCTGCAGCATGGAACACAAAAGCAAGTTAAGTTATTATTCCAATCATATATTGTTAGCAACATGACTGGAAGATGTTTTGATCAGTTCAGATAAAAAGTACTGCAGTGAACTAATTTTTCATCTATTTCATAATGATAGAAGCAATCACACACTTGTAATGCACATTCATGTCTCTTCATTTAAAATCTCGCTGTAGTGTCAGAAGGTTATAAACATTCAAACAAGTCTTGTAAGATAGAGCCCCCACAAAAAAAAAAATCTATTATTAAATAATCAATTAAAGAAACTACACAGTGTCTTTACTATTACATTTGGCAGGAGAGATGCATGCAAAAAAACAGGCGTGTACACGAATTTTGCTTACACCAAATATCACAGGTGTACACTGTTTTGCCCAAGAAAAAGTAAAATAAATAATGGCATGTTAACACCAAGAGTATTACCCTTCCACACTGCTTTTTTGCTACCAAATAATAACTCTGCACAAATAAGAACTTTCAAACCCAAATAAACGCTTACCATGGGAAAGAGTCAAGACCTTTTCTCTCCAGAATTTATAATTTTATGAAATGACCCACACCCCCATAACAGATGGATTATTACTCTAATAAGGAAGATAAATCAACCCAGCTTTGTAATTTTTTTTAAATTAGCAAGAATTAGCTTTTTTAAAAACAAGAGTACTTGTTCTGAGAAACAGATTTAATATTAGGAAGCAGTAAGAAATACACAAAATTTAAGAACAAGTTTGTTTATATAATTTGACCAAACTGACATCTTCTGCTAGCATTTGTGGTGACCATTTGTGGCTATTGACCATATGGGTCAAAGGAATAAGTACTAATGTCCTGTTTTATGCAGGGCCAGCAAATTGCCTTACCTGTGGTCAGTGCTCCCCAGCCTTGGGGATGGGGTCCTCTGCAGCACTTTGACCTGTACACTTCACCCAAACTCTTACAGGGTTTTAGCCTCAGCAGCTTCATAGAAAATCTAGTACACTTCCTTGCCTTGCTGTGTGTATTTATAATGGCAGGGATTTTCATTTTTGCTATCTTCTTTAGACTCCAGATCCACCCATTATATATGAGAGAAATCTCATATATATCTCTTCAAATGCAATTAGCAAAACTCCAGCTTTGATAATCCTCCAATATTCCCAAAGATCTGTCCCTTTCCCCCAGCTCCTCTGGGACATGGCAGATTACTGGAA